GCCACTCCTACACAGAAGGACATGAAATGCATCACAAAGATGAAGGTGAACAATCTCAACCTTTAGTGTGTCCCATTTGAGGCCTACAGCTGATTCAGCCTCCCTGTCTACAGTACCTTTAAATCATTCATCTTGTTCTTGGTTTTGTCTGGTTTTTGTCTGCATTTATAACCACTTCCCCCATTCTGTTTTGTTAAGAAAACATGATTTTTGTAGACACTGATGCTGTGTTTATTATATAAAAGTTGTTGAAAAAGGCTGGTTCTAGGAATAGAGTGCATTATGTAAAGTACCGCTGTGGGCCCCAACAAAGAGGGACAGGCCCCTTCTGTTGACTAGTGCACCCTGCCATATATTTTGACAACAAGAAAAAGGGCTTAATTGGGTTTCTAATTTGGTTTGGGGTTTTACTTTGTCAATGACATGTCTCATGAGTATATACCTGGACAAAAGACGTTTGGATTGAAGCGCATCTCAAAGATGATGTCATTGACTGAGCCCACTTCTTTACATGCAGCTCGTACTGCCTCTGTAGCGCTGGAGTCAGCTGCACAGATAAAAAAAATAGTATTATTATAATTAGTATTTTGAGATTGAGATTTGTTTATGTATTAAGGTAATGACTTGGATGGAGAGTTCTTCTTACAAGCTGTTGCACATTCTTCCAAACCTCCATTGTCTTCTAATTTGTCCTTTACAATCTGTGTGAACTGGTGGTGTCTATCAAAACAAGGGGGAAAAAAATAAAAAAAACATTGTGTTTAAAACATGTCTCATGGGAACAGAAGTACATTTGAAATATTTTACTCACTTGTACTGTATGAAAGCATGCACCAGCTCTGGCCTCAGTCTACAGAGACTGTGGGGGAAGCTCCTGGGTAGCCCCACGTCTGTGTGATAACCCTGCGGCCACCCTTCTTTTACACCATCGTCCTTCTCTTCATCCTCTTCACAGGTTTCATTCTTCTGCTCTTCTTCATTATTGACTGTCTGACCTTCTGTCTCTGCCTCTGGACAGAAGTTTGCATCTGCTGGGAAACTCCTGAACACATCCAGGATGTAAAACCTTCTGTCGGCTCCCACCAGTCCTTGTGCATCCACTGAGGTGAACAGTGGCACAGAGTGACCGCTGAGTGCCACAACAACATTTTTCTGTATACAAAGAGACTTGGCAGCTTGAGCCAGGAGTCCCAACAATTGTCTGCGACAGAGGGATTCCTGGGGTGCTGCATTTATGCCGTACAACAGACCTCTGTTAGGACAAATAAAATCAAGGAATGTGTCAGCACAAATCACCTCAATAAAAAAAACAGTCCAATAAAGTTGTTATGCCAGTCCAAAGCGGTACCTTGCAGCAGGGGAAGAGTCCTTGTCCTGCTCTGAGCCTTCCAAGCCCGGGGCCAGACCCTGTGCAGACAAGCGCACCCCTCTGTAGTCCACAATTGCTGTAGGGAGTGTATGGAGCCCCTCCAGGCCCTCTGAGTCACTGTAAACTTGTACTGTTTTAAGTTCCAGTCTCTGAGCTGCCCTGAAAGTAGAAGAATTTAAATATGAACAAAATATGACTTAAAGTGAAATAGAAATCTTTAGGACACAGATTATGAAAGCATTTCATACATAAGAATCTTTCTTCCCTTTAATCCAAACACAGCAGTGGCAACCGTAGACAGATGTAAGTGTACAGAACACACTGATTGACCAATCAGCTGTCTGAAGACTCAGATCAGTTGATTAAAGTCAGGTGTGCTGCTGCTGGGTTGGAACAAAACCTGCATCCACAGCGGTCCTATGTGGAACAGATTGCCAAACCCTGATGTAGATTCTAAATTCAGGTAAGGTCAATTATTTATACTGTATATCTTTACAAAACTTTTAAATGTGTGGTTTCTGTTTCAAAAAGTGTGTGGTTAGGGGTTTGTCACAGTTTTGATGGAGATGTAAAGACACACAGACTCTCCAGCACTCAGTGATACTGCACTAAGCAAGGGATAGCATTAGCTTAGCCCATCCTGCTGGTTCTGTCATGTGTCTCTTGTTCATGTTTTTGCATGTTTGGTAGAAAATAAGAAATTTGAGTTTTTGTCTCAACTTTTTTTATTTACCTCCTGCCTCTTTCTCCTCCAAATGTTTCATTTGCTGCCCCCTGGCTCATGAACAGACCTCCCCAAAGGAAGGCTGGTTCATCTGGGTTTCCATTGACTGGTTCCACAAAGCCATCAATAACGGCCTCTGCCCCCTGCATGACAGTCCTCACAAACCCACTGTTTACCTGAGCAAAAAAAATATTGTATGGACAATAGAAAGTGAGTGACAAAGAACAGGAACCAAGATGACAAATGTCCTGCCGTTGTTGCTCAGATCAGGATGACAGCTTTTATTGTTACTTCGAGCAGAGCTCTGTCTCTGAGCAGCCTCTCCTCCAGATTGCCCTGAGGAAGATCTCTGGCTGCTTGTAACTCCTCATTCCAGTCTGGAGTCTGAACATGAAAAAAACAAAACAAATGCACAACAGCATACATCATTTGATTAAGTTCCCCTGTCAACAGTAGACAGCCGCTACAATCAAACATAAGTTTATTTTATAGTGAACCTGTCGTGCTGTCTGCTCATCAACTTTCAGTCTGCTAAAGGTGTTTTTGTGTGTGCGGGAGGCACATGATGGCCCAAGCCAAGTCATCGTGTGGTATGGAGTTGGCATCACCTCCACTGTTGGCAACTGAGACCTGGGAGAGACAGTAAAACAAGAACATTAGTAGCATTTACTTTGATAATTAGTTAACAGGATTCAAATTTAAGTACAAAAAACAAGAATTTCTAGTAACTAAATAAAACTAAATGAATAATAGAATTGTACAACAAAATCCCTGTCACCATTTTTAATGTGGCACTGGAAGTGTATGGTGGTGTGCTTATTTTTTCTTCTAGTGGTTGGTTACTAAGAAAACGAAGAAACCCACGGGCGGAAGGGCTGGATAAACTCACAGACAGAGACTCATTATTGTAATAAAATATTGTGTCCTTAAACAAAAATATGAGATGAGAATGTCTTTGTAATGGTTTCAAATTTTATGCGTTATGTGTCTGTAAGCAAAAAAAAAATTTTTTTTTTAACTCCTATATACTAAAACTAACTAAATATTCATTGTGGCTATTCTGGCATGATGTGGTTCAGTTTATTCTTCTTTGATGCACTCTAGGGTAACAACCATTACCTGTTTTTAAGTGTAGAGAGGGTTTTTTTGAAAGCAGGACTGATGTGACAGAGCAGGTCAGTGAGACAATGAAACACCGTAGAAGACTGGACAGGACGAGGATCAAAGACGTCTTCTGTGGATCTGGGAAAACAGGAGAATATGAGAAAATATTCAAACAGTTTGTTAAGTTAGAAACTGTGTGTTGTCTGATCAAACCCCATGCTCTGACTCTCCTACCTGTTGAGGAAGAAACCTTTGGGACAAGATGTGATCTCACACCTCCGTCCTTCAGTGGTTACCACAGAGATGTACAGGAAGTCTCCCTGCAGCTTCCTGTGTCCTGGAGGAGGATTCCAGCAGCTGAGACACAGGTCTTTTAAGTAACTTGGGACCTGTTGACATCAAGGAGGAGGTTTCAGTAGGAAGTAGGATTGTGGAATAGACAGGCTTCCTCTGTGTCTTCTTTTAAATCACAACAGTCAAAAATAGTAGCACTTTCCAGAAAAATAATTCCTTTACCAGTACAACTCCACATGTAATTTAGAGCATGATGCTCTGGAATCAATTACCCTGGCAGGATTTTAATTTAAATAAATATTTAGAGCCTGTACCTCTGGCTGGGAGCTGGCTGGCAGCAGGGCCATGAGTGGTCTTTCAGTGGAACCAGGGAGAAGGTACTCTGGAGGTCCTCCGTCCTGGTGGTTGGACTCTGTTTTTGTGTTGCTCAGAGAATGTTTAAGGCTTTTTCCATTTGTCAAGTCTGCATCAGTGACAATAAGTAAAATAGGGACAAGTTAATGGTTTCAGTGGAAGTTTTCACTTTCACATTACAATTATTTTAATGTTCATACATCTTTATCAGTCTAGTCTAAAACCATCATGTATTCATCAGTCCATCAACTTGCTGTGCTACAGTGCTGCCAACTAACTATTGCTCACATATGGAGGATGTATCTTTTGTCATCTCACTTCTCCCCCCCTTCTCTCGTCACCTGAATAAAAGTAAACAGCATCACATGACTCTGTTGACAAATGGAGCAGCCGACAGTTGAAAGAATAAAAAGAATCATGTGAAACACTGACAGTGTGTCAAATACACTTCAAACTTTAGAGAACTTCTGAGTGATTAAAAAAGGTATCACTGAGCTACAGTCTGGCCCCTCAAATACCATTCTGCTTTTGATGCTGCCTTGCAGTGCATCAACTAATTTGTGTTTGTGTTTTGGTGTGTGTGTTTGTGTGTTTACCTGGTGTCAGCACATGTGTGAGTGTTTCCAAAAGGCTGGGTGACCGTCCTTCTCTGAGGGCATCCTGAGGTCCAGATGCTAGCAGCAGCTCCAGGACACGGGCCAGGTGGACTCTGGCAGAGCAGGCAGTGTATGGCTCTGAGACAAATAAACAACAAATAATGAAATTAGATTTTAAAAAAATGTTATTCCTTAACATGGAGTGTGAGGAAATTAGCATAAGCCTGTGACGGTATGTTCTTTAAGTACTGACAAGTTGATCTCATAAAGGGATAAGGCGAGAAACTGAGTAATTGCCTGTGGACACGTGTAACATCTACAATCATAAATTTCTACCCGTACACAAGTGTTTGGATGACTCAGCAGAGGTGAGTCACTTTTTTACTATGCCCTCAAAGACTTGTTAGCTGTTGTTGTAAGAAGGAATAAGATGATAATATCCATCCATCCATCCATCTGTTACCGGGTCGCAGGGGCAGCAGTCGCCACCCATATCACACTGCACTGCACCAACCCCCCCCCCCCGAAACTTCCTGCAGGTGGTGAGTGGTACCAACCGCCCTAATCGGGGTTCGATCTTGCCCAGGAGGTGAACCCTTGGTTCCACACCAATGACAGAGACATTGCCTCTGGGCCAAAGCACCACAAGATGATAATATAGATTAAACTATTCCTACAGAGATCCCAATCGTTTGAATAAACATTTGTGCACAATATACTTTGACTTAAATCATCATATTGTATAATAGGGTTTGCGTTTCTCTACCTTCCACAAGTCGAATGACTGCACCCTGTTTTAAGCCCTTGAGGGTTTGTAGTTCTGCGAGGGGATCCAGAATACTTCCCGCGAACGATAGAGACAGGCTGGAACGGGGGCACAGCTCATTCCTCGAAAGCAGGTTCATGAGAGTGTCTTGCACAAGCCAAAATCCATGTACCTACACCACACCAAAAAAAAAAAGAAAAAAAAGAAGCACATCTATAAACACACTTGTAAACTGTTTCAAGAAAATTCAGGAATCTACATAACAATGAAAGTCGCTGAAACACAAGAAACATGACAAACAACTAATGCTCTGCCAAGTTTCTGAATTTTTGTTCTTTTACCTGCAGCTCAAAAGGCTCGACTCCTGCTCCTTGAATCTTCACTGCAAATGATGTGTCGTTTTCTTGCTTTATTCCAACAACATTCCTTTCCCCAGTCCTGCTCATTATATCTATCCGAAGGGGAAATTAGAGGGATAAAAGTAAGTACCGTATTTTCCTCACTATAAGGCACACTTAAAAGCCTTTAATTTTCTCAAAAATCGACAGTGTGCTTTATAACCCGGTGCTCCTTATGTATTACTTCTGGTTGCGCTTATTGAGCTCGAACCGATTTTATAAAGCCAAACCACACAGTGCATCACACATGATGGCACACAACTGAAACACACTGGGAGCCAACCATGACATTTAACTCTGTTATCACAATTAGAAGATGCTCAACAACAATTGTTACAGTATGGTTGTGTAACCCAAATCCGTGCAAAATCGCGTCGTGCCTCCCAACACCCGGAGACTTTGGAGAGTTGTGTTTTTGAATTGTTGATGTATGGTGCGATGCAGGAAGACTCAGACGCATGGCTGTCGATTTTTTCGTGGTCAAAAACTCTTTTTATTTCTCTTTTTATTTTTTGTCAATGCAGGCAAAACACACACTCTCTCTACAAAACAACATATGCACTTCCGCACGGAACAGCGTCAAAACAACAATACGGTGACCATCTAGAACAAAAATAGTGACAACCGCCTGACTCTGGAGGGGCGAACAACAACAACAACAACAACAGTGTCCTTCAATGTCCTACTTAGGTCACTACCCTTTTCCACAAATCTCCGTCCCTATTGATTTGCAACTCCATGCGCGCCCATCTCACCGGTATTGTCAAAACCCAAGTGAAGCAAACTAATTCGGGGCCTGCCATCATTCCGGGTGGATTGACCACAGAATTCCAACCGCTAAATATTGGTGTTAACAGGGCGTTTAAAGTTAAATTGTGAACTGCGTGGGAGCATTAGATGACAGAAGGCGAACACGCATTCACCAAGACAGAGGCAATGCCGGGCGAGTTACACCACTATCTGCCAATGGATCGTAGATGCCTGGGCTAAGGTATCAGTCTCAAATGTTTCATGAAGGCCGGAATCATCACTGAACAACTAATGACTGACTCGGATAATGACGAGAGGGATCCAGACATGCTTGATTGTTCCACTTAATTGTTTTGCTGACTGTTTTGTTTCGCTTAATGCGCCTTATAATCCGGTGCGCCTTTTGTATGAAAATAGACCCGTTCATTGATATTGCGCCTTATAATGCGGTGGGCCTTATGGTCTGAAAAATACGGTAGGCATAATCTCATGTTCCCAAAAATAGCTGCTTTTCTTGTCTTTCCTGCAGGAGAAGCTCTTTGTTACAGTGCAAAGAGCTAACGCTCTCATAGAAAACCTATACAAACTGTGAACTAATAATCAAGACTTATCAGACTAAGATCTGTCACTCATCTAATTAGAAATTGTATGTCCTTGTGTGAGAGAAAGAGCCTGAGGCTAAAAGGGAGTTCATGTAGAAGAAACAGAAAGTGGGGTGTGTCCCTCTTGTCTTTTTGAACAGACTTTGCAGGAACAGCAGAAGAGCAGGACCCAACGTGTTCCTCAGCCTGCAGTGTGACCAAACCTGTTGAATTTGCCCATTGGCCCCTATGTCATTTTAGGGTGAAGGGACAACCACACCCAGCACTGGTATGTTTAGACAACAAAATTCTACAGCGCAGAAACTAACTGAACGTACGACTCGGCAGGTGGGTGTATCAGCAGCTCCTGGCATGAGTGGAAGGATGCATACATGCATGCACCACATGAACATAGGAAAATTCATTTTGCACTGGTCTTTTGGGGGTTATAGTTCATTCTCCAGTAAATCCCCTGCTCTTGCTGTCAATCCAGGACCACTTTACCACAGGAAAACACCCAGAAAGTGCCTTCTTTGTTTCTGATTGGCTGAACTTGGGCCCCTTCTCCAAGCTTGGAGTACTTTTTTACTCCTGCCAATCATTTTTGGCACTGATTTCTGAAGTTGGCATGTGCAGAAGGATCAGACAGAATTCCTTTTCAAAGCAGAATACAGTTGCCGTTTTATCATCAGGGAGCCTGGTGCATTCAGATTAGTTGTGTGAATCAAGAGTGAATCACTACACTGTACCCAGTGATTAACATCAGGTTGGTTTCTTAAACGTTTCACCACAGTAATCCAAATAGGTCTTAATAGAGGGAGGTAAATGATAAAAGACAGTTGGAAGAATAAACCATTAGGAGACCTGTATTGTGAGACAATCTGAAGCAGCTATAAAAGACAACGTGGCCAGGTTGAATGTACATGATTTCTTTCATCAAGTTTTTAATAATACCTAATATAATAATTAATAATAATTTTGATTGTAGCACAGACTGTAAGAAAATGAACCGTCCATAAAAGTATAAAGTGCTGAGCAGATTCAGTGGAGAGGTTAAAAATGTGGCGTGACAGAGCAGCAGAAGCCAAGCTCAGAGCAGCAGTACTGTGCTAAATATCCCACCCTCCTCACATTCTCCAGTGAGGGGGGCACCAGATGTAAAAGGAAGGAAGAGAAAAGTGCAGAGGGGAGAGGGAGTAAGAGGAGCTTTCTTACCACTTTTGGCCTGATTCCTTCCTCCGCCTCTCCTCATTTTGTCCTTCATGGCTGCAAGCTGTACTTGTTAACTTTTCCACTTCTGTCTTCTGTAGGTTTGTCTTCCCTTCTTAGTAATTCTCACTTCAAAGTTTACACAAGAAAAGTGTGAGACAGGGTAAACAGGAACCAGCAGCTGGATTGTTTGTGATCCCAGCAGAGTGAAAGTGAAGTGACTATGCCTGTTCAGGATTAGAACTCCTGCCCCTCTACACAAGGCAAACTCACCTTATCTGCTCTCCCTGCGTAAAAAAACACACCCTCTTATTGCTCCACACAGTCTCATTACTCTCTGCATGTCTCTCACACTTTGTTGGACTGGGTGTGTCTCAAGTGTAACTTGTAGCACTACTTATTCTTTTTTCCCTGACATGTTTTGCTCCTCCTCCCCCTTGTCTCCCGCCCTCCCCCACTCCATAAAGCCATGGAGGAAAGTTAAAAATTAAGCAAGCAGACTGTGTTTTGGTGGTGGTCTGACCAAAGTTAAACAATTGCCCCTTGTCTAGAACTTGTGCTTCTAAAAGTGCTTTTATAGATCAATTGAATAACAGAATAAAGAAACAGAATTATTTAAAAAAACTGAAAATGTTAAAATTAAACTCATAGTAGAGATTATAGGACTCTATCTATCTTGATCTTTAGTAAATAAATATCCAAAATGATTACACAATAATCTTAGGTAGTATCCAGAAAAGTGTGTACGCATACCTTTCAATACCAATAAGGACCTTTTCTCCTTTTATAAACACAAAATGTTGCTATAAACACTGATGTCTCCTTCATGGGTGTAGATTTTAGAATAAACACTTGGGACATGTCCCACCTAAGTTAGTGTTGATGAACTACTTACAAAATACTTTTGTTCACACCTAATGCTAATATCCATCCATCCATCCATTTTCATCTGCTTATCCGTTACCAGATCGCAGGGGCAGCAGTCGCCACCCAAATCACATTGCACCGCACCAACCCCCCAAACCTTCCTGCAGGTGGTGAGTCCTCTGGAAGGTACCAACTGCCCTAACTGGAATTCGAACTTGCCCAGGAGGTGAATGCGGGGGTTCCACACCAATGACAGAGACATTGCCTCTGGGCCAATGCGCCACCCTAATGCTAATAGATTTTCCATTTTGCATATTTGGGTGTAAAAAGTTATCATGTCAAACTGCAATAGTCTCGATGTATGCTATGTTTTCTTAAACTAATGAACTTTAAACTAAAGATGTGCCTGAGCATGTGTCAGGAAACTTTCTCTGTTAGATAGGACTGTAAAACTGCTGTTAGTTCATACATCAGTTTCCTAACACACAAAAAAATTCAAATAAAGATTGAACAATGGTTACATTCAGAACTGCACTGAGGAACTCCTCAGTACTCAAAGCTTAAATACAGTTTTTTTACATACACATCAATGGTCAGCACCTTAACCCTTTACAGCCATGTGGTGTTCACGCGCAACTTCTGAGCACTGATTGGCAAAGGCTGCTCCAAACAAAGACTCTCCACCAATAGAAAACATGAACATGTGTTGAGCTATTCTGCTCAGTAACTCAGGTTAGATCAAAGAAATGCCCCTTGGATTCTTTTCCTTTTTGATGTTCTGTTTGAAACTGGTTCAGGCTGGTTCTGTGACCTGTCTCTATCTCCAAGTGGAACAGTCAGTGCCATCCGTACCATACACCATCCTGTTATGTAAACCATCAGCATGTACACCTTTCTTCAGTACTTCTCCTTTTAGTACAGCATTTAAAAACAAACAGTATTAATTGATATGGAAACTTAATACAATGAATATATTGTAAAGATTGAATAAATATATTTACAATATCTTAACACCATGCACTTTCACCAATTCAAACAGCACATCTCTGCTCAGGATTATGGAAATATAACTTGAAGACCACGTGACTTGACACGAAATTAAGTCATTAGACAAGGACTTACTTATCACTCTATTTTCTTCTGTGGGAAATTAACTCAATCAAAAGCATTTGGGTGACTTGGATTCAAATTAGTCTCTAACTTGAAAAATGTCCCAGAATTAATTGTTTGTTTTTATTAAAGATCGTGACAATATTCAGTAATGAAGAGAACATTCATGAAGGTGTTGGCAGCTATTAAACTAATAAACACTGGATCTTTTTTGTTTTTTATTGCTAAGATCTAATGATAAAACTAAATAATAATGATAATACAAAATAGAGATTTAATGGAAAGAAAGATACACATCTAGATACTCATCAAGAAGCACATGTCACATTCTTGTAATCGTGTTGCATTGTTAACATCTTTATTTACACAGATGCGCATAGATGCGAAGGGCACGCTGACCAATTTGCGACTGCATGTCAATCAATCAGGGTAGAAGTAAGATGTGGGTGAAAAGGGTGTGTATGTGTCTTGTGATGGGATTGTCCTCTGATTGTTGTGAGGCCTACATCCAGTAGGTTCACATTTCTCACATGCCTGGGTATACTGCTGTCCAAACTAAGTACTGAAGTTTATAGGTTAGGCCGAGCAGGTGTTGGCCACAAAGTTATTACCAAATACTGATGTTTAAAACTTAACAATTAAGATAAGGTTGTCTGCTATAAGTTTCCCCTCTGCGTATAAACTTTTGCCTCGTCATAATTATTTTCAATAAATACACACAATATATTTCTTTAGAGTGCATCTTTACAATATTGTTATGATTGTTGTTATCACTGAAATATTACATACACATAGGTTAGGTTGTGAAGCTAATACCGTTAGATTGTTTGAGTTATTGTTTAGCATTTTTATGTGTTGGTTTATTTATCGTGTTAATATCCTGTGCTGATAGCTTTATAACTTAGTCAAATGGATATGTATTGTCTTTTTTTTTGGCAGCAGCTTATAGAACAAGGTAATGACGTAACAAGACTGGTGAAGTTGTGGAGTGTCATGTTGCGTTCCAGTGCTCCTCGTTATATACGCCATTTATAATACAAAGTTTATTTCATTTGCATTTATCCAGGGATTTTTTTAGTTAGATTGTGCCAATGCAACCGTTCATCACCCTGTGTCGCAATGGAGTCTAAGTAGAAAATTTACGATATTTACTAAACATTTATCTAGTCAAACTTATATGTTGATGCTAACGGATACCGTCCTTACTTCCATTTCGCGAGAAGCCTGTATATCGGGCATGACAAATGAAACCAGTGTTTAATGGTAGCCTCTTCTATTTGATGTGAGTGTAGCTTATTTTTTGTTTACGTAAGTTATGCAGTAATCGTTTTCCCTACGACACTCTATTGTGACATTTGACAGGAGGCTGTCCTTGTGGCTAACACGAAGTTAGCTACAGTGCAAGCTAAAAACAAACAAACAACGAAGACAAATGCTCGTTATAAACATCACAATGGATGTGATGGTACAGGTGAGTGTAAGTTAAAGAGCAGCTGTTGATTTTGTTGTTACAAACAGTTAGAAACACGTGTCAATAGAAGAGTAAACAACCGCTTCTGTCAGCCTTCTTCCATCAGAGCTAACTCATCCAACCACCTTTAGCCTCTGGCTCTTTTCACGTTTACTGTGTCCTAACAAATAAATACTGTAAACAGGTTGCTTGTATGAATGTCAAGAATGTCATTGTTTTTCAGCAGAAACTTACATTATATGTCTGTGTGGTGACCTTTTTGAGACTGAGTTTTACTGAATGGAGTGTACATTTTCACTGACTAACGCTTGTCGCTGCAATTCAGAAAAAAAAGATTAAAAGAGATGCAAGTTTGCCAAAGGGTCACAGCTCCACTTTCCTTTACACATCTAAATCATTTGTGAACCAAGGAGACAAATTGTAAGTGAAAATTCGCCAATGTCATGAAGTCACAATTTTCTCTATTTTATGATTCCCCTTTTAACGTACCCTAAGACACTGTGTTGCACAAGAGTGTGAAAATGTAGCGGTCTATGGCTGGTTTATTTTCAACAGGCAGTCCTGGGAATACTGACATCCTTTTATTGTGTAGTGTTTACTGCTCATGAACATTTATCACCACAGTCGTGATTGCATTGTGATGACCTTGCAGATCAGCTGTTTGCTTTCATCCAGGTCAGAGCTGAAGGATCAGATCTGGGCTAATGTCATCCAGTCCCAGTGAGGAGGGGAGTCTGTCTCAGGCTGCCCGGGTGTTAAGATATTGTAAATACATTTATTCAATCTTTACAATATATTAATTATGTTAAAGTTTCCATATCAATTTATACTGTTTGTTTTTCAATGCTGTACTAAAAGTACTGAAGAAAGATGTGCATGCTGATGGTTTACATAACAGGATGGTGTATGGTACGGATGGCACTGACTGTTACGCTTGGAGATAGAGACAGGTCACAGAACCGGCCTGAACCAGTTTCTCTGCCCAAACAATGAGGAAAACAGAACATCAAAAAGGAAAAGAATCCAAAGTGTATTTCTTTGATCTAACCTGAGTTACTGAGCAGAATAGCTCAGCACATGTACATGTTTTCTATTGGTGGAGAATCTTTGTTTGAAGCAGTTTTTGCCAATCAGCGCTCAGAAGTGGTACGTGAACACCACATGGCTGTAAAGGGTTAAGCTACTGACCATTGATGTGTATGTGAAAAAACTGTATTTAAGCTCTGAGCACTGAGGAGTTCCTCAGTGCAGTTCTGAATGTAATCATTGTTATGCACTCCTTGCTGCAAGTAAAACTTTAAGATCTCGTATTTGATTCTTTATGTGATCAGATCTTTATTTGATCTTTATTTGAATTCTTTGTGTGTTAGGAAACTGGGGTATGAACTAACAGCATTTTTTACAGTCCTATCAAACAGAAAAAGTTTCCTGACACCGGGACATCAACAACATCGTGGACAACCGTACTGAGTCTGCAGAGAAACTACCTGAGAATCAGGTAAAGTCGAATGTTATTTTTGTGTGTGTGTGTGTGTGGATAAGACATTCTGTTTAAATAAAATATTTGTGTTGTTTCCAATCAGAAGACAGATTTTGTGCAGCTCTGGCTGTAAAAAAAAAAAAGTTTATTTACTTTTTACAGTTATTCCAGGGAGCACAGATTTTCTACGTGAACAAACTCAAAAAGGCTTAACTACACATACCTACAGGTCATATCTTTTTAAAACATGTAAGTAATATAACAAATAATAATTTTAACATTTCTGTAGTTTATGTTTGAGCTTTGTCCTCTGTAAGTAATTTTGTTACTAAGGAGCACATAACATTGTATGTTTAGTTGTTACTGTAACTGCTACAAATACTTAATCTAATGATTGAGAGACATGATCATAATTGTCAAAATCCATCTTATGACAGATGTCAGATTATTTAATAATAGTTTTGAATGTGTGTATGTTTAAATTGTCAG